ATGCTGATTCTTTCATGCCACTCCTCACATTTGTTTCTTATTCCATTCGCGTTCGCGTACCAAACCTTCAACTTCTTTTCTAAAACTGTGGTCCAGGAAGAATGGTGGGTCTGGGGGAGCAGGAGCCCTGGCGGGGCCTATAGAGGGTTGCTGTAGGGGTGGGGTTTGTGGTGTGAGGGGTGGGGGCAGAGGGTACAGTGCGTGGGTTTTGGTTTAGAATATTCGGTTGCATTGGGGTTGCCGTGGTTTGATTCCTTCTGCGGGTAGTTCTGGAGGAGGTTGTGTTTGCTCTTCCACCTGGATCTGGGTTCTCCTGCTCCCTTCCGTCCCTGCCTCCTGTTCCTCCTTGCATCGTTGCACCCTCTCTTTCAATATCTTCCTTTCTTCCTGTGTTCTGTCTCGATCGAGGTACACTGTCCAGTACTCTGGTTTGTCCCTTAGTCGTCCTTTCTCCTGCAGGACCCAGTTTCGAGCTGACTCTGCCTTGAAAATCACTTTGACTGGTCGTTTTTTTCCTCTCACAAACCACCCAATTCTCCAAAAATTTGTCAACTGTGTCATGTCATCCTTAACTATTGCTTTCATGATACTTTCAATCGTATTTTTCTCCTCTTGTTTTCTTGCTTCATAAGTTTCCCCTTCAACTTCCTGGAGCTCATAAACAAAAACTGACCTCTTTTGTCCTCCCAATGAAATTCCCTGAGCATCCCCTGAGACGATTTAGTTCCTGCCACTGAAGCGTTCCTTCTTTCAGTCTCTTCCCTATCTGATGTCCCTGTTCTCAGCTGTTCCTGGACACAGCAATTGTCTGTTAGAACCTCTGCGTATAGCTTAGCTCCTTCATTGTCTTTTGTCCCCTCAGTTGTTCTTGCTGTTCTCACCGTCTTTACCCGGGCCCCACGTGGGTCTGATAGGGCCTTCGCATACGGTATAGCTCCTTCGCTCCCTACAGTCCCCTCGTCTGTGACTGATGTAGCACTTCCTGATTCGTGGCTGTACTGTCCTTTGGTTCTATAGGCTGTTTCAGATTTTTTAGTTCCTCTTCTAAGCTCTGTATCTGTGTGTGTGTATGTGTGTGTGTGTGTACTCACCTAATTGTACTCACCTAATTGTGGTTGCAGGGGTCGAGACTCAGCTCCTGGCCTCGCCTCTTCACTGATCGCTACTAGGTCCTCTCCCTCTCTGCTTCCTGAGCTTTGTCATACCTCTTCTTAAAACTATGTATGGTTCCTGCCTCCACTACTTCACTTGCTAGGCTATTCCACTTTCTGACGACTCTATGACTGAAGAAATACTTCCTAACGTCCCTGTGACTCGTCTGAGTCTTCAGCTTCCAGTTGTGACCCCTTGTTTCTGTGTCCCCTCTCTGGAATATCCTATCTCTGTCCACCTTGTCTATTCCCCGCAGTATCTTGTATGTCGTTATCATGTCTCCCCTGACCCTTCTGTCCTCTAGTGTCGTCAGTCCGACTTCCCTCAACCTTTCCTCGTACGACATTCCCCTGAGCTCTGTGACTAGCCTTGTTGCAAACCTTTGTACTTTCTCTAACTTCTTGACGTGCTTGACCAGGTGTGGGTTCCAGACTGGTGCTGCATACTCCAGTATGGGCCTGACATACACAGTGTACAGTGTCTTGAACGATTCCTTATTAAGGTATCGGAACGCTATTCTCAGGTTTGCCAGGCGCCCGTATGCTGCAGCAGTTATTTGGTTGATGTGTGCCTCCGGTTACGTGTTCGGTGTTATGGTCACCCCAAGGTCTTTCTCCCTGAGTGAGGTCTGTAGTCTTTGTCCACCTAGCCTATACTCTGTCTGCGGTCTTCTTTGCGCATTTGGCAGGGTTGAATTCGAGAAGCCAGTTTCTGGACCACATGTCCAGCCTGTCCAGGTCTCTTTGCAGTCCTGCCTCACCCTCATCCGATTTAATTCTTCTTATCAACTTCACATCATCTGCGAATAGGGACACTTCAGAGTCTATTCCTTCCATCATGTCGTTCGCATATATCAAAAATAGCATTGGTCCTAGAACTGACCCCTGTGGGACCCCGCTCGTCACAGGCGCCCACTGTGATACCTCTTCACGTATCATGACTCGTTGTTGCCTCCCTGTCAGGTATTCCCTGATCCACTGCAGTGCCCTCCCTGTTATATGCGCCTGATCCTCCAGCTTCTGCACTAATCTCTTGTGGGGAACTGTGTCAAAGGCCTTCCTGCAGTCTAGGAAAACGCAATCAACCCACCCCTCTCTCTCGTGTCTTACTTCTGTTACCTTGTCATAAAACTCAAGGAGGTTTGTGATACAAGATTTGCCTTCCATGAACCCATGCTGGTTTTCATTTATAATCTTGTTCCATTCCAGGTGTTCCACCACTCTCCTCCTGATAATCTTCTCCATGACTTTGCACACAATACATGTCAGAGACACAGGTCTGTGGTTTAGTGCCTCATTTCTGTTTCCTTTCTTAAATATGGAGACTACATTTGCTGTCTTCCATTTCTCAGGTAGTTGCCCAGTTTCAAGGGATGTGTTGAAGATTGTGGTTAGGGGCACGCAAAGCATCTCTGCTCCTTCTCTAAGGACCCATGGGGAGATGTTGTCCGGTCCCATCGCCTTTGAGGTATCAAGGTCACTTAGCAGCTTCTGCACCTCCTTCTCGGTTGTTCGTATGTCATCCAACACTTGTTGGTATATTCCCTGTTGATGTTCCTTTCTGTGCTGTCTTCCCAAAGCCCTTCCTGCCACTACTGTAAAAACTTCCTTAAATCTCCTGTTTAGCTCATCACATACCTCCTGATCATTTCTTGTGAGTTCTCTACCTTCTGTCCTCAGTCTGATCACCTGGTCTTTGACTGTTGTTTTCCTCCTGATGTGGCTATACAACAGTTTCGGGTCAGTCTTGATTTTCGATGCTATGTTATTTTCATACTGTCGCTGGGCCTCCCTCCTTACCTGTGCATACTCATTCCTGGCTCTGCGACTGATCTCCCTATTTTCATGTGTTCTCTGCCTTCTGTACTTTTTCCATTCTCTATTGCACTTTGTTTTTGCCTCCTTACACCGTCGGGTAAACCAGGGGCTCGTTCTGGTCTTCCCGTTGTTACTGTTGCCCTTGGGAATAAACCTTTCCACTGCCTCCTTACATTTTGTTGTTACATATTCCATCATTTCGTTTACTGGCTTTCCTGCCAGTTCTCTGTCCCACGGAACCTCCTGCAGGAAGTTCCTCGACCCTATGTAGTCCCCTCTTTTATAGTCAGGCTTTTCACATTCAACTCCTGTTACTCTCTCCACTTGCAGCTCTACTATGTATTCAAAGCACAGAACCACGTGGTCACTAGCTCCTAGGGGACTCTCATATGTGATGTCCTCAATGTCTGAACTGCCCAGGGTGAACACAAGGTCCAATCTTGCTGGTTCATCCTCCCCTCTCACTCTGGTAGTGTCCTTAACATGTTGGTGCATGAGGTTTTCCAGCACCACATCCAACATCTTGGCTCTCCATGTTTCGGGACCCCCATGTGGCTCCAGGTTTTCCCAGTCAATCTCCCTGTAGTTGAAATCCCCCATAACCAGCAACTTTGCTCTGCTGGAGTGAGCTCTTCTTGCCACCTCAGCAAGTGTGTCCACCATTGCTCTGTTGCTCTCTTCATATTCCTCTCTTGGCCTCCTGCAGTTCTGTGGTGGATTATACATCACTGCAATGACCACCTTGTGCTCCCCCGACTGAAGTGTACCTACTATGTAGTCTCTTTGTCCCGTCTCGTCTATGCCTCCCATTTTCTTGAATTTCCATCTGTTTTTTACGAGCAGAGCAACCCCTCCTCCCCCTCTGCCCCTTCTATCTTTCCTCATGATCTGGTATCCTGGTGGGAAGATTGTATCTGTTATTGTCTCCGTGGGTTTTGTTTCTGTAACTGCTATAATGTCTGGGGACTTCTCATTGATTCTTTCTTGCCATTCCTCATGTTTATTCGTTAATCCATCCGCATTTGTGTACCAAACCTTCAACTTCTGTTCTAATACTGTAACTGTGGTGCGGGGGATGGGAACAGAAGGATCGGTGTGTGATGGTTGGTTTGAATTGTTCAGTTGCCTTGGGGGTGTTTTGGCTGGAGTCCTTCTGCATGTGTTTCTGGGGAGTGTGCTTGTCCTTCCACTTGTTCCTGGGTTATTCTGCTCTTTTTTTTTTCATTTCCTCCCATTCCTCCTTTCGTTTTTGCACTCTCTCTTTCAGTATCATCCTTTCCTCCTGTGTTCTGTCTCGATCGAGGTACACACTCATGAACTCCTGTTTGCCTCTCAGGTGTGCTTTCTCCTGCAGGATCATTTTTCGAGTTGATTCTGCCTTGAAAATTACTTTGAGAGGCCGATTCCTTTTCTTTGTGAACCACCCGATTCTCCGAAAATTTGCCACCTGGGTCATGTCTCCCTCGCCTATCACCTTCATGATACCTTCAATCGCTTTTTTCTCCTCCTGCTTTCTTTCATCATAGGTTTCCTCTTTAGCTTCGTCTAGCCCATAGACAAAAACTGATCTCTCCCTTTCCACCTCCCACTGTGACTCCCATTGCGTCCTCTGAGGTGTTTTAGTTCCTTCCCGTGGAGTGTGTTTGTGTGTGTGTGTGTGTGTGTGTGTGTGTGTGTGTGTGTGTGTGTGTGTGTGTGTGTGTGTGTGCGTATGTGTGTGTGTATGTGCGTATGTGTGTGTGTGTGTTTGTGTGTGTGTGTGTGTGTGTATGTGTGTGTGTGTGTGTGTGTGTGTGTGTGTGTGTGTGTGTGTGTGTGTGTATGTGTATGTGTGTGTGTGTGTTTGTTTCATAGATTATTTTATATTGTATAAATTTATGCAAAATAATGTTATGCTCCTAGATTAGTTTTGGATAAAAAATTTTTTTCGAGAGCTTTCCTTGGGAAGGTTTGGTAAGTTAAGGTGATGTAGAAAGTTTTGTTATCATCAAAAAAGATCATATAATGCTATCAGCAATTCATATCCAACAGGGATGAAATGTTTTAGCAAGGCAGATAAGAAGCAGCAAGAGAAGATCAGTGAACATTTCGCATGTGAGACTCCCAAGGACACCGCCATACATATGCCTATCCCTGAAGGCTACAACGCGGTAAGTTAATTCTTCCCTCAAATACAAAAATCTATTAATAAATCTCTCTGCTTTCTTGTAAAATGTTTAATTGGTAAGTTATCCAACCTCAGCTCATTTCAAAGCTCAGATTTATATAATGTGCTCTACTACTTCCTAGGATTCGATTCATAACTGGGAATCGATTCATAACCATAACTAATATTATTAATGTATCTACAGTATATAAACTACTTGCGAACTAGGGCAGGTGCCGGGAACTAGCCACACCTCACGCCACACTTAAAAACAGAGTTCGGATTCTTTACTCGTGAGTCGAGTGCTCTGCCACTGAGCAGTGAGACACCTATACTGTTTGTCACTGTTGGCTCAGGACGGTGAGGTGTACACTCACACCCACGGAACACACATATGGAGTTCCCTCAGTGTTTATTAAAGTTATCTGTTAATTCTTGAACCTACTTCTGTCTCCCAGTACTCCACTCATTTCCAAGGTCATTAAACAACCAATCTTAGTATACTTCTTCCTTACCATAAACATTAAAAACAGCAGAATTGAAATATGTAAATTATAAACTCTAAATTATCTCCCATAACAAAATATTAAATATAAACAATGACAAAGAGCATGAAAAAGAGTAGATTCTACAGCATGACAACTTAATAAACAGCTGTTGCACCTTTCCTTTTAATATTTTTTATGTCTTCAGGTATCTCCTAACTTGGCGATGGTGAAGAGATGTCATCACAACGTGTGTGAAGGAAGGGCTCATAACTGTGTCGCTGTAGATACCTCCAACAGAACTGTCAAGGTAAGTTCATTTATTAATCTGATTACACGTCTCTTGCTGTGTGATTATCTATACTAAGACCCAGTGTGACCCTAGAAGAAGGAACACTTTCACCATCGTTCATTCAGCCACTATCTTGCCAGAAGCGCGCTGACAACAAAGCTCAGCTGACCCTGCAAACTGCACCATTCCTCCTTCAGAGGATACTCACTATCCTTTGCACCGCCAGGACACCGAGTCTCTTCATAAATATTACTTTGCTCATACTCCAACAGGTCTCATATAAGGCAAAATTTAGTACGCATAATAAAAATCACTGCAAAATACTCGTAGCAGTCCAAAGATCACTTGAGAAAAAACGTTTCCAGGTGCTCTTGAGGAAGTTAGAATAACTTCATCCACAATGATGGTGATTCAACCGATGTTAATAACTACAGACCAATCTCTAATCTTCCAATATTATCAAAAATATTTTCAGAAATCAGTCTTCAAGCAACAGTACACCTGCCTTACTAATTACAAGATGTTTACTCCTTATTATTTTGGATTCAGACCGAAGTCCTGATGATGCAATACTCTAATTGATAGACACTGTTTATGCAGCACTTGAAATATACAAATGTTCTGGAAATGGTTTACAATACTGACAAGTTGAAGTGTAAGACACATGTGCAACAGCTGGGTATCTTTGTTGATTGAATCATTTAACCTACACTTCATGCTTCTTCAGTTAAATACAGAGACATCATCTTCACTTTGCTGCTACATCTGCTGCCTCTGTATATGACTGAAGATGCCTACTGTGTAGGCGAAACTTTCTAATCAAATATAAAGATACCCAACTGTTCGACACGTGTCTTACTCTCCAAATAAGTATCCTATTGGACTTTTCATTGAACTGCGGAAGGACCTTGATACCACTAACCACAACACTCCTACCTAAGCACTATGGACACACAAGACACAGGAACACATGTTTTCAATCCTAAGTAAGTAACAGATAACATGTGGTCATAAAATGACACCTAGTCCTGTAATCAACCAATAAACCCAGGTGTTCTCCAGGGCACCATTCTGGGCCCTCTTCTTATTCCTCATCTATATGAGTGACCTGTCCAACAATATCAAGTGAAACGGGTATTTGCTAATAACAACTTTTTAAATATCGGGTTCAGTAAGCACTATAGTGATTAATGAACTCAAAAAAGTACTAAAAAAATCTCATATATATATTTTGGGAATAAAAAAATGGTAACAATTAGACACCTTAATCAATGATGCTCAAATAACACAGATATAAGAGGGAAAATTCCTAGGTCTAAGAAGAGACAACAACCTAAATTTAAGGCCTATGTCCAACACCCATCAACAAAGGTCTTTAAAACCATAGGGATACTCTCTAATAGTCACTGTTATGTTCCGCTCCCCACACTACTGACTTGACCTTTCTCATCTACCCATAACTTATATATGGGATCTGTGTCTGGGGGATCAACTTCAGCAATTCGTTAATCATAACTCAAGAAAAAGCGCTTCTTATAACAATCTCTAATACTACTAAATATATAGTGGATAGTGATGTGTACCGTGTTCATTTCTCACAGGGCTGGGCATTGGAACGCAGGGTCGAGTCCTGGCCAGCCACAGTTCTGTTAATGATTCAAAAACACTTGTTTCATTATTTCATTAGAAAATATATATCTAATATATATGCAATTTATACTTAATGATATGCAATAATCGCAAACAAGTGATACAAGATGCAAAACAACTAAAGGGGGAGTTGAATGATAGCTCTATGCCTGAACGAATCTTCCTAGACTTCCTACTCATTTCTGCAACACTGCAAGCTTTTGAAGATGTGTTGATTGTAACACGAAAGGCCTAGGAGTATCATTCAACTCCCCCTGTGGTTGTTTTGCAGACTTATTAATGTTCAGTGCACACGCTTAAAACATCACACTGTAAAGCTGGTGCTAAACTCAGACAATTCTCACAAACATATAACTGAACACACAAGCTTCACACCAGCAAGAAATAAACTAATAATATTCCTCGTGTTTGATCGATTTATCTACAGAAATTCTATGCAGATTAAAGAATCAAAGATGTGGTGTTCCATAATAGACAAGCTGAAGAGTTGTAACAATCTTACTTCACAACTAAGCCAGACAAGGCACTGTGTACCTAAATACTGTAGTCAAAATATTTTCTTATTCTATCGGTTTCTCTATATTAGCACTACTCTCTCAATATATTGTGCTAAGCTTTCTTACTAAAATAATCACTGTATCTAGTTTTTAAGTTCCGGCGCTAAATGCCAACTATTGTAATAAAATTACACCTAAGAACGCAATTTATTTGGCTGGAATTTAACACAATTAATTTGTGTTATTGTAGTGTACTATGCTGCACTCTTAATGGACTTTCATATTTGTAAGTTTTTGATCATTAGAATTATTTCTGTAGTGTGCAAGAATGGTATACAATACCGACAAGATGAAATTAAGACACATGTGCAACATCTGGGTATCTATATTGTAGACGTTTCGCCATCCAGTGGCTTTATCAATACAAATTCCAGGACATAACTTGAGGACAGTAGAACTATGTACAAAAGATGAGGTAATCAGTCCCTCAACCTTGGAGTTGGTGCGAAGAGCACCGTAGTCGTGGAGATTCTGAAGCAGAAGCAAGGAGCCTGGAGCTTATGTACTAACATCAGGTGGAAATGGGACGTGTAGCAGACGAGGGCATAGTCAATTCAATTCAATTCAATTCAATTCAAGTTTATTCTCTATAAGGGTTACAATGTGGGGTTTACAGGTTTTGGGTATTGTGTGGTTTACATGTTATAAAATACTAATTACAGAGGGAGCCACTAGGACACCTAGCCTGGCTAGGCATTTCGGGCAGACTTAGATTAATTCTTAACATTAAATCCTTACAGATTATGGTATTAAGGCTAAGTGACTACATCATAATTTGTGAGTTTAGCAATGTGAATGCTTTTGTTTTGGCACAATACAAAGTGTCTATATTGGAGTATCATAGGCAAACTTATGACTAGTTAGGATTTATTATTTTAAGATTAAGATTAGTATTTCTGGGTTTATAATCAGTGGGTGAGTGAGTGTAATTGAGAACCACCAGGTGGTTATCATGTAGTTAGTTGTCTGGGTGTATCAGGGAGATAAGATGTTTTCTAACTGTAGTTTTGAAAGTGATGAATGTGTCTGCAGTTCTAGAGTTTTCAGGTAGGGTGTTCCAGATTTTAGGTCCTTTGAAATACATTGAATTTTTGTAAAGGTTTAGTCGAACACGGGGAATGTCATAGAGATGTTTGTGTCTGGTGTTATGCCTGTGGATCCTGTCACAACTATCAAGAAAGCATTTTAGGTCAAGGTTAATATTGGAATTTAAGGTCCTGTAGATATAGATTTCACAGTAGTAAGTGTGGATGTTCTGAACAGGGAGTAAGTTTAGATCTATGAAGAGTTGGGGGGTGTGTTGCCAGGGATGGGATTTAGTGATTATTCTTACTACGGCTTTTTGTTGGGTTATTATTGGCTTTAGGTGTGTTGCTGCAGTTGAACCCCAAGCACAGATAGCATAGGTTTGGTATGGATATATAAGTGAATGAGAAGGGCAGTTTGCGGCACGTAGTATCGTATCTTGGAGAGGATCCCAACCGTTTTGGATACTTTTTTTGTGGTGCTGAAATTTAGGTTGTTGTCGAGGTATAGGCCAAGGAATTTGCCCTCATTATGTCAGGCAATTAGAGTGTTGTCGATCTTAATGTTAAGTTGCACAACACCTGCTCTGCTACCAAACGTAATATAGTAGGTTTTGTCAGTGTTAAGTGTAAGTTTATTGGCTATCATCCAAGTCGATATTTTGAGCAGCTCCTCGTTAACAATGGTGTTGAGGGTGGCAAGATTAGGGTGGGAGATGACATAAGTCGTGTCGTCAGCAAAGAGAATGGGTTTCAGGTGTTGGGATATGTTTGGAAGATCATTGATATAAATGAGGAAGAGCAGGGGTCCAAGGACACAACCCTGCGGAACTCCAGTATCAAGTGGCCGTACTGATGAGGCTGTGTCTTTAATGGTGACATACTGATACCTATTAGAAAGGTAGGATTTAAAATATGCAAGCGCATGGCCTCTTATACCATAGTGGTCAAGTTTGTGGAGTAGGATGCTGTGGTCTACTGTGTCAAACGCTTTTCTTAGGTCAATAAAAATTCCTAGCGGATATTCCTTATTTTCCAATGCTGTGTAAAGCAGGACTAGCATTTTTATAATTGCATCATTAGTGCTTTTATTTTTCCTGAATCCAAATTGGCAGGGGTTGAGTATGTTTTGTGACGTTATAAATGAATATAGTCTCCTGTGCACGAGTTTCTCGAAGATTTTGGATAGCAATGGTAAGTTTGATATTGGCCTATAGTTGTTTACGTCTGTAGGGTCACCACCTTTATGTATTGGTGTAACCCTTGCCGTCTTGAGTAGTGTCGGGAAAGTGCTAGTTTCTAATGACTTGTTAAAAAGTAATGTAATAGCATGCGAAAGGACATGGGCTGCTCGCTTGTACAATAATGGTGGGACGTGAGACAGATTCCCCGAGTTATTTTTAAGTGACTTTATGATCGTGGTGACTTCCGTGGGCTCTGATGGTACAAGATAGAAGGAATTTGGGAAATTCCCATCTAGGTAGTCCCCGGCACGGGCATTGGTACGTGGGATTTTACTGGCGAGATTAGATCCTATGTTTGAGAAGAAGTCGTTTATCTTGTTAGCTGTATCAGTGGGATGCAGTGGTGTTTCATGAGGTTTAGTTAGAACAATATTCTTGTTTTTTCAGTTTGTGGGTCCCCAGAATCTGGGAAAGTGTTTACCAGGTCTTTTTTATATCTCCTCTTGTGTCAGTGAATCTGCTGGAGTAGTACAGTTGTTTGGCTTTCTTTATTAATTTGGTGAGAACTGTTGAATATTGTTTAAGAATATCTTTGTATATTAAGCCCTGTCTATATTGCTTTTCATATTGGTGTTTCTTATCAATGGATTTCAGAATGCTGCTGGTTAGCCATGGGCAACCAAGCCGTTTATTCGTGATCTGTTTCGTTTTTATAGGACAATGTTTGTTGTATAGTCTAAGTATTTTGTTAAGAAAAATGTCTGTCCAATCGTCAATACCATCGGCATTGGAGAATTCTGTAGGCCAGTCAACAGTCTCTAGGTCTGCTGTGAAATTCCTTATTGAGGCCTCGTCATGGAGTCTAAATGAAACTTTGTTGTATTTGAGTGGTGGCTTATTAATGTTTGTTAAGAGGAAAGTTGGGTAGTGGTCAGTAGTGCTGTCTGTGATTATCCCTGATTTAAGGGGGGCTAGTATATTGGTCCATATGTGGTTTATTATGGTTGCACTTGTCTCAGTCAGCCTGGTTGGTATAGTTATTGTTGGTATGAGAAGTGTGTTGTTCATATTGTTGATGAAATCAGTTACAGTCTGATCATCTGGTAGGCCAAGGTTGATATTGAAGTCTCCAGTTAAGAGAAGGTGGTGCTTGTTCATTTGTCTGTTTGTTATTAGTGACTTTAGATTCTCACTGAAGTTTGGGATGTTTGTGTGGGGTATCCGGTATATGGCACCGATTGTTATAGGCGTCTTGAGGTTTTTTACAGTAAAATTAGCAAAAATGTATTCCCCCATATTCATCACTAAAGCAATTAGTGCTAATACAAGATAGTTGGTTAGAGTAATAGATTGCAGTACCACCCCCAACTTAGTATGGTCTGCAGTTGTGGATTGCTGTGTATCCTGGTAGTGGGTAGATATCAGTTGTGTCCTGCTTAAGCCAGGTCTCAGTAAGAATAATGCAGGAGAAGGGTGTCTTTAGTGACTCAAGGAGTGCCAGGAGGTCATCATAGTGTTTGCTTAAGGACCTGATGTTGTAGTTAAGAACTGATAGACTTTGAGCAGTGTTCAGGATAGTGCTGGCCTGTGATGCTGTGTAATAAAGGCAGTTACTTTCCAATAAGTTTTGATTGTGTGTTAGATTATGGAGGTTTAGATCAGGGTCAACGTGATCATTCATCTTTTAGGTTTAAATAGTGGTTGTTTATATCCTGTATTATGTGGTGAGTTCTAATACTGATTTCTGTAGTGGTGGGAAGTTTGGATAAGTATACCGCTAAAGCACTTTGGTCATATAGAGTATAGTCACTAATAAACATAATGAAATTGATATTGTCAATGTGTTGTGCTAGAATGAGCTAAAGTACAACTAGGTATAAACTAATACTATAAAAAAATTACAAGTGGCACCAGACTCACTCTTGTAATTGCACTAAGGTCTAATATAATGAATTTAGTGTAGATGAATGGTTCAAAGAACCGACATGTTGTTAAATTAGACACATGTGCAACTCTTAGGTATCTTTATTGAGGAAACGTTTCGCCACACAGTGGCTTCATCAGTCCATACACAGGAGAAACTTGAAGAACAGGAGGAGAATGAGGTAATCAGTCCCTCAACCTTGAGTCGATGTGGTCAGTCCATCAATCTTGAATAGATTGATGGACTGACCACATCGACTCAAGGTTGAGGGACTGATTACCTCATTCTCCTCCTGTTCTTCAAGTTTCTCCTGTGTATGGACTTATGAAGCCACTGCGTGGCGAAACGTTTCCTCAATAAAGATACCCAAGAATTGCACATGTGTCTAATTTAACAATGAATTTAGTGTTGTCTAAGTATTGAGCTAGAATGAGCTAAAGTACAACTAGGTATAAACTTATAATATAAAAATACAAATTAAAATGGTACTTACAATTGCACTAGGGTCTGATATAGGTTGTTAACAAGATCAGGAGTATAACTAGATTTAAATTGAGAAAATAAAATTCACAAATTAAAGTACCAAAAGAATAATAAGTAAAAAATAACAATGGCAATGACTTGGTTATAATATGATAGTAAGATGGTGGACAGATGCACAGGTACACAGGTACACAGGTACACAGGTACACAGGTACACAGGTACAAAGGATAATATAAAGGTTAGAGTTGAATATACAAACTTGAAAATTTGGCAACAAAATGTTATGAAAAGTATAAAATAATGATTAATTTACAAAAGTAAAATTGACTGGTAGTAAATATGGTGTTTAATAAAATTTTAGTAAGTAATAATGATTACAAAAAAAGATTAATTAACAAAAAAAAAAAAAAAAAAAAAAAAAGTGGGATTCCCCAGTGGAAGTAGGACCTACCCAAAGTGATGGGTTAGTTGTCGTAGTAGTTGTCGTAGTCGTCAAGGTTATGTACTTGTCCTCAGAATCAAGATTCCATAATGTTACATAACCTTGACAACTACGACAACTACTACAACTAACCCATCTCTTTGGGTAGGACCTACTTCCACTGGGGAATCCCGCCTACCAGTGACTATGCCCTCGTCTGCTACACGTCCCATTTCCACCTGATGTTAGTACATAAGCTCCAGGCGCCTTGCTTCTGCTTCAGAATCTCCACGACTACGGTGTTCTTCGCACCTACTCCAAGGTTGAGGGACTGATTACCTCATCTTCTGTACATAGTTCTACTGTCTTCAAGTTATGTCCTGGAATTTGTATTAATAAAGCCACTGGTTGGCGAAACGTCTACAGTAAAGATACCCAGATGTTGCACATGTGTCTTAATTTCATCAGAATTATTTCTGTTTTGTATTTAATGTATTTGTATAAACATACGAACAATTTTTACAATGTTTATTCATGTTCTAACGTTCTAGCTTGTCTACAACGGCCTACATAACCTGGGCCTCTCCACTGTAACATTTTATTGAGGGAACGTTTCGTTCTCCAAGAGCGAAACGTCCCATAGCTGGATCGCTAGCGCACTCAGCTCACACACTCAGGTCCGGAGTTCGAATTTCCTCCGGTAAGGCTGGAAAACATTAGGGACGTGTTTCCATAAAACACCCGCTGTCCTGTTCACCCATCGGTATAAATTGGGTACCTGGTGTGGGTCGCATCCTGGGACAAAATTGACCTAATTTGCCCGAAATGCTCAGCATAACAAGCGGCTTTCTATATAATACTATATAGGAAACCTGTATACCTTGTACACGTACTTGTAGAAATATAGATATTAATATTAATAACATACTGTTGATAATTCTACCAACATACTCTCCATTGTTACTAATAAATGTCATCTAATTTTCTTAGAATTATGTATCTTGTGGAAATTAGGTGCTGATTTATTTATTATATTTATTTAATTACTCCTTTCACCAGGTGATGGCTTATAGAATGAATAACAAACGTTACGTATCGCATTGTGTGCAGGTGACTCTGATGGATGACACAGCGTGTGGCTGCAGGTGTAGCAATGTGGACAGATCTTGTAAACATAACCAAGTGAGTTCATCTCTTAGACTCAAAGAAGTTATTCTTTTTAACCCTATAAGTATTCTTCTTCTTTTCATTTAAAACAGTTTACATAACTAAATATATAATATGTAACCATTATCTCTAAGTCCACAGCAGGATTCAGACTTACTCTGCATCAATGTACGTAGTACCTTCTCCACTCAGCCAGATCCCGGATGCGGAGTGTGTTAGTTCGAATCCTGCTGTGGACTGAGAGAAAATGTTTGTAAATATTTTCGCCTGTTTGGGAATTATTAAGCATGTGATATACAAATCATCTTGCATAAAAACCAAGGTAGACAGGTGACCTAGTATATCTTACCTCTCTCAGAATTTGCTAAATTAACACCCTATAACTTTCGTGAGTCGTAAGTTTACACTGGAAATAGACATTCCTCAAAAGGTGATATCTATTTATTTATTGTTTTCTTCCTCTAAGGTTTCTCTGGAATAACTTAATAATTTCCCCGATCGGTTTCAAACGTTCACTGCTGATGTATCAAATATTAAGTAAGATTCGGATTGATTTTGGGCTGTGTAGGTGTCAATCTGTCAATTTCATCTAAAAAAATGGCCGGCACTGTTGTCTACCTACCTGGAGTCTACTTTGAGTCTACCTGGTGGCTACCTGGTGTCTACCTGGAAAGTGTTTCGGGGGTCAGCGCCCCCGCTGTCCGGGTCATGTATATAGTATTGTTCAATAATAGGTTACGAATGTGATGTAACGATTTTGAAAACTGACAAGTGAAAGAATGAAACACTTGTGTTGCACAAGTATTGCACAAGTGTTACACAAGTATTGCACAAGTGTTGCACAAGTGTTGCACAAGTGTTGCACAAATGTTGCACAAATGGTGCACAAGTGTTGCACAAGTGTTACACCTATGTTGCACATGTATTGCACAAGTGTTGCACAAGTGTTGCACAAGTGTTACACAAGTGCTGCACAAGTGTTGCACAAATGTTGCACAAGTGTTGCACAAGTGTTGCACAAGTGTTACACATATGTTGCACAAGTGTTGCACAAGTGTTGCACAAGTGTTACACCTATGTTGCACAAGTGTTGCAAAAGTATTGCACAAGTGTTGCACAAGTGTTACACCTATGTTGCACAAGTGTTGCACAAGTAGTAGTGCACAAGTGTTTTTCACAAGTGTTGCACAAGTGTTGCAAAAATGTTGCACAAGTGTTGCACAATGTTGCACAAGTGTTACACAAGTGAAGCACAAGTGTTTTTCACAAGTGTTGCACAAGGTTTCACAAATGTTGCACAAGTGTTGCACAAGTGCTACACAAGTGTTGCACAATGTTGCACAAGTGCTGCACAATGTTGCACAATGTTGCACAAGTGCTGCACAATGTTGCACAAGTGTTACACAAGTGTTGCACAAGTGTTACACAAGTGCAGCACAAGTGTTTTTCACAAGTGTTTTTCACAAGTGTTGCACAAGTGTTTTTCACAAGTGTTGCACAAGTGTTACACAAGTGTTGCACAAGTGTTGCACAAGGTTGCACAAGTGTTGCAAAAGTGTTTTTCACAAGTGTTACACAAGTGTTGCACAAGTGTTGCACAAGTGTTACACAAGTGTTACACAAGTGTTACACAAGTGTTACACAAGTGTTGCACAAGTGTTACACAAGTGTTACACAAGTGTTGCACAAGTGTTACACAAGTGTTGCACAAGTGTTGCACAAGTGTTGCACAAGTGTTACACAAGTGTTGCACAAGTGTTGCACAAGTGTTTTTCACAAGTGTTGCACAAGTGTTGCACAAGTGTTGCACAAGTGTTGCACAAGTGTTACACAAGTGTTGCACAAGTGTTGCACAAGTGTTGCACAAGTGTTACACAAGTGTTGCACAAGTGTTGCACAAGTGTTACACAAGTGTTGCACAAGCGTTGCACAAGTGTTTTTCACAAGTGTTGCACAAGTGTTGCACAAGTGTTGCACAAGTGTTTTTCACAAGTGTTGCACAAGTGTTACACAAGTGTTGCACAAGTGTTGCACAAGTGTTACACAAGTGTTGCACAAGTGTTACACAAGTGTTGCACAAGTGTTGCACAAGTGTTGCACAAGTGTTGCACAAGTGTTGCACAAGTGTTGCACAAGTGTTGCACAAGTGTTTTTCACAAGTGTTACACAAGTGTTACACAAGTGTTGCACAAGTGTTGCACAAGTGTTGCACAAGTGTTACACAAGTGTTGCACAAGTGTTGCACAAGTGTTGCACAAGTGTTGCACAAGTGTTGCACAAGTGTTACACAAGTGTTACACAAGTGTTACACAAGTGTTGCACAAGTGTTGCACAAGTGTTGCACAAGTGTTACACAAGTGTTGCACAAGTGTTACACAAGTGTTGCACAAGTGTTACACAAGTGTTGCACAAGTGTTACACAAGTGTTGCACAAGTGTTACACAAGTGTTACACAAGTGTTACACAAGTGTTACACAAGTGTTTCATTCATCACTAGGTCAGAGGGATACTATGTGACGGGGATACCTCTCATGGGGTCCTCAGTGACCCATTATTTTATTACATTCATGGGGATGAGGAAGCGTTAAATCTGTAGGGAAGCAATTAGATTCTATTCAATGGGAGTTCAGGTCTAATTCAAGACTGACAATCACTTAACATCTGCATCGTGTACTTAGACTCGCGTGTGTTTTGCAGGTGTTCTTGGATCATCTGTGTAGGTGTGAGTGCTTGCAGGGTTTGGAGGATGACTGCAAACGCCTTATGATTCAAAAGCCCGGAATGTACATGTGGAACAAGAGAACCTGCTCGTGCCCCTGTAATAATACCCAAGACTGTGGTACCGGCACTAGGTGGAGTTATGACGAGTGTAGGTGAGTACTGTGTGTATGTGTACTTACCTAATTGTTCTCAACTATTTGTGGTTGCAGGGTTCGAGTCATAGTGCCTGGCCCGCCTTTTCACTGGTCACTACTAGGACCACTCTTTCCTTTCTCCGTCAGCTTTATTATACCTCTTCTTAAAGCTCTGTATGGATCTTGTGTATGTGTGCGCTTTGTGCGTGTTTATGTGTGTGTGTGTGTGTGTGTGTGTGTGTGTGTGTGTGTGTGTGTGTGTGTGTGTGTGTGTGTGTGTGTGTGTGTGTGTGTGTGTGTGTGTGTGTGTGTAAGGGGACCAGTATAAATTTTCCAGAGCTAATTCAATGTAAAATAATAGATTAGTAATGTATACACACGTTTATTATCAGGGTTTAGTTATAACTCTGCAATAACTAACACTGTTGTTACAGATGTGTGCTGATAGATGATGAGGAAAACGCCATTTCTGAGGAGTCGTTTTGGTTCCCTTAAGAAAGGAATGCTTAAGACACTGGGCTCACCTGCTCTTCTTCCAGCACAATAACACAAACTCCTATTATAACCATAACCATAATCTGTGAAGGGGTGGACCGGTAAGCCAGCGAAAGCCTCGGTTAGATGACCGAAAACTCCAGCTGCGGGCCATCATATGACTAAGACTCGTGTCAGAAAACATATTATAACCCAGGCACTCAAAGGCCTGTTATACAGGGCGTAAAGGGAGCAAAATAAACACAGCAGAAAAACTTTGAATTATATTATTCTTCACCAAGTAAAGATAGAAGTATGTACACTATATACAATATGTACAACAATAGGTATTCGTGCACGCCACGGTAATCAAGGCAAAATTGAAGCCAATAGGATGCAGACCACCGTGCTTCAACTAGATCTCGAATGGAAATGACAAGGGTGAAAATGTGAGTGGTAACCACGTCACCTTCACAATTGCGAGATCCACCTTCTCATTGGATGAACCTAGATACAGACCTGACGATGGGGCCCCGTTAGATATTTCGCTGGTTGGGGAAGTAGCCTATGTGTGTTAACATGCTCCGAATAAAGATTACATACTCATTGCATGCAGCAAAATACTTGACCTGTTTCCTCACAAACCTAACCTAACCTAACCTGTCGTTGCTGGTTTATTCGTCCAAGACAAATCACCGCGCTCTATGGCTCATTGAAGTCCTTTTAAAGACTGTAATAATACCTAAATTGGTGTGTCCTTGACTCACGGTCACTCAGAATACATTTAGTAACAACCAGGGTGCTAATCCGCACCAAAATGACCACACTTCCTCTTACTGCCGTGTACAGTAACGGGACTGTACATAGTATATATACCACATGGAAAAATGAAGAATTAGACATGTGCATCATCTGGGCATTTTTATTGTAGACATTTCACCATCCAGTGGCTTTATCAGTACAAATTATGTCGTTGAATTTATATTCATGTATCCACTGGATGGCAAAAAGTCTTCAATAAAGATACCCAGATGTTTGCACATGTGTCTAATTGTTCATTGTAACTGCATTGTAATTTGCACCACCCCATGTTTATTATTAACTAAGATAATTGAAAAGTTTAAGATGCACGTTGAGATGTGTTAATTGCAAGTATTAGGTCGCACAAAGATGAGGCGAGTTTGAGGCTCTGATAAGCGACTTACGGAGGGAAGTTATCAGTTATCTTCTCCGATCGCTAAACAGTAATAAGGATATTTTAGCGCACATAAAACCAGTTTCTGTGTGGTCTTGTTTTTATAGCGAAGGTTTTTAAGTCATATGTGAGAAGAATTCAATTAATAATTGTCATAGCTTTTGCTGCATGTTTTTAATAATTTATATGTAGTGACTTTGAGATGCCATCTCTACAGTTTATATACACAGAGAAGTTGACATCTTCCAGAGTATATACACGCAGAGATGTACATCTTCTAGCTATATAAACCGAGAAGTGTGTATGTTAGTGTATATTTGGTGAAGATATATATCACAGTGTATACACACCGACAAGTGCATATCACAGTGTATACACACCGACAAGTGCATATCACAGTGTATACACACCGACAAGTGCATATCACAGTGTATACACACCGACAAGTGCATATCACAGTGTATACACACCGACAAGTGCATATCACAGTGTATACACACCGACAAGTGCATATCACAGTGTATACACACTGACAAGTGCATATCACAGTGTATACACACCAAGTGCATATCACAGTGTATACACACTGACAAGTGCATATCACAGTGTATACACACCGACAAGTGCATATCACAGTGTATACACACCGACAAAGGCAATCACAGTGTATACCCCCGACAAGGCATATCACGTGGATCACACTGACAAGGCATACACAGTTAAACCAGAAAGTGCAAAAACACAGGTATAACATGACAAGTCATATCACGTGTATAAAACCAAGTGATACCTTTTTATACCAAAGACAATGCATATCACAGTTATACACACCGACAATTTCAAAACAGTGTATACAACCGACAATGCTATCACCGTGTTACCATGACAAGTGCATACACGTGATACCACCGACAAGTGCATATCACAGGTTTTTCACACGACAAATGCAATCACAGTGTATCACACCGACAAATGATATCACAGTTTATACACACCGACAAATGCTACACAGGATAAAACCCAAGTGCAATCACGTTTTACACATGCAAAATGCATATCACAGTGTATACACACACAATGATATCACAGTGTTTAAAAAAACCGACAAATGAATCACAGTGTATAAAACCGACAAGTGCTATCACAGTGTTTACAAATGACAAGTGCCCAACCAGTGATACACATGACAAGTGCATAACACAGTGTATACCATGACAAGTGCATATAAGTGTTCACACCAGGCATATCACAGGTAACACACTGACAAATGCAAAACCAGTGTATACACCCGACAAGTGATATCCAGTGTATACACACCGACAAATGTATCCAGTGTATACACACCGAAAGTGTATCACAGTGTAACACACCGACAATGCTATCAAGGTATACACACCAAGTGCAATCAAGGTATACACCTGACAAGTGATATCACAGTGTTTAAAAAACCGACAAATGCATTCAAATTGTTAACACCCACAAGGCATATCACATGTAACACACCGAAAGTGATTCCAGGTTACACCCGCAAGTGATATCACGTGTATTCACACGACAAGTGCATATCCAGTGTTTAAAACACCCAAATGCAAATTTAAGTGTTAAACAATGACAAATGCATATCACAGGTTAACAGCAAGGATATCACGTGTTAAACAAAAAGTGATCCAGGATACACCTGACAAGTGATTCACAGTGATAACACCCAAAAGGGAAAACACGTGTATAAAACCACAAAAGTCATTACAGGTTACACCCGAAATGCATATCACAGGTTACACACCGACAAATGATTTTCACGTGTATACACACCGACAATTGCATATCACGTGTAACCAAAATCATATCACTGTGAAACACCCACAAGTGCATTCACAGTGTAACAAACCGACAAGTGCAATCCAGTTATACACACCCACAATGCTATCACATTTACAACCAAGTGCATATCAAGTGTATACACACGACAAGTGAATCACGTTATACCCCGACAAGGCTATCACGTGTATACACACCGACAAGTGATATACAGTGTATACACACCGACAAGTGATTTCCCCAGTGTTACACACCGACAAATGCATATCACAGGATCACACGAAAAGTGCTATCAAGTGTATACCACCCACAAGGTTCCAAATGTATAAAACCCAAGGTATCCGTGTATACACACCAAAAATGCAATCACAGGATACACACCGACAGTGCATTACAGTGAAAACCACCGACAAGTCATACACGTTATAACACCGAAAGTGCAATACGTGTATACACACCGCAAGTGATATCAGTGTATACACCCGACAAGTGCATTCACAGTGTATCCACCGAAGTGTTTTTCTCCGAAGCTTTTTACCTCTCGGGATATCACCAAGTGAAAACCTACGTACCAAGTACTTAAACCAGTGTGATGATTCCCAAAATGATGCCTACTCCAAAATGTACTTTAAACCCGTGTGATGGTATCACCAAGTGATGCCTACGTACAAGTACTTAAACCAGTTGACGAGTTCACCAAGTGTGCCTACGTACCGTGTACTTTAAAACCTGAATGAGTACACCCAATTAGCCAGACCCAAAGTACTTAAACCAGTGTGATGAGTATTGGTTGACTTTCCATAAATATAACTTGTCTTATCAGATTTAGCTTTGCTTAGTAACTAACTAATCATATTGTCTTACTGTGGCATCTGTATCAAGCCAGATAAATGTTGTATGCATGGTTTAAGCCATAAGTTACATGCAGGTATCAAGGCACATGTTACATGCAGGTATCAAGGCACATGTTACATGCAGGTATCAAGGCACATGTTACATGTAGGTATCAAGGCACATGTTACATGCAGGTATCAAGGCACATGTTACATGCAGGTATCAAGGCACATGTTACATGCAGGTATCAAGGCACATGTTACATGCAGGTATCAAGGCACATGTTACATGCAGGTATCAAGGCACATGTTACATGCAGGTATCAAGGCACATGTTACATGCAGGTATCAAGGCACATGTTACATGCAGGTATCAAGCCAGATAGGATGCTATATGTAAATTTCATAACAGATGTTACATGCAGGTATCAAGGCACATGTTACATGCAGGTATCAAGGCACATGTTACATGCAGGTATCAAGGGACATGTTACATGCAGGTATCAAGCCAGATAGGATGCTATATGTAAATTTCATAACAGATGTTACATGCAGGTATCAAGGCACATGTTACATGCAGGTATCAAGGCACATGTTACATGCAGGTATCAAGGGACATGTTACATGCAGGTATCAAGCCAGATAGGATGCTATATGTAAATTTCATAACAGATGTTACATGCAGGTATCAAGGCACATGTTACATGCAGGTATCAAGGCACATGTTACATGCAGGTATCAAGGGACATGTTACATGAAGGTATCAAGCCAGATAGGATGCTATATGTAAATTTCATACCAGATGTTACATACAGGTATCAAGGGACATGTTACATGCAGGTATCAAGGGACATGTTACATGCAGGTATCAAGGCACATGTTACATGCAGGTATCAAGCCAGATAGGATGCTATATGTAAATTTCATAACAGATGTTACATGCAGGTATCAAGGGACATGTTACATGTAGGTATCAAGGGACATGTTACATGTAGGTATCAAGGGACATGTTACATGCAGGTATCAAGGGACATGTTACATGTAGGTATTAAGGGACATGTTACATGCAGGTATCAAGGGACATGTTACATGCAGGTATCAAGGCACATGTTACATGCAGGTATCAAGGCACATGTTACATGTAGGTATCAAGGGACATGTTACATGCAAGTATCAAGGGACATGTTACATGCAGGTATGAAGGCTCATGTTGCATGCAGGTATCAAGGGACATGTTACATTCAGGTATCAAGGCACATGTTACACGCAGGTATCAAGGCACATGTTACATGCAGGTATTAAGGGACATGTTACATGCAAGTATCAGGACACAGGATACATGCAGGTATCAAGGCACATGTTACATGCAGGTATCAAGGCACGTGTTACAGGCAAGTATCAGGACACAGGATACATGCAGGTATCAAGGGACATGTTACATGCAGGTATCAAGGCACATGTTACATGCAAGTGTCAGGACACAGGATACATGCAGGTATCAAGGGACATGTTACATGCAGGTATCAAGGCACGTGTTACAGGCAAGTATCAGGACACAGGATACATGCAGGTATCAAGGCACATGTTACATGCAGGTATCAAGGCACGTGTTACATGCAAGTATCAGGACACAGGATACATGCAGGTATCAAGGGACATGTTACATGCAGGTATCAAGGCACGTGTTACATGCAAGTATCAGGACACAGGATACATGCAGGTATCAAGGGACATGTTACATGCAGGTATCAAGGCACGTGTTACATGCAAGTATCAGGACACAGGATACATGCAGGTATCAAGGGACATGTTACATGCAGGTATCAAGGCACGTGTTACATGCAAGTATCAGGACACAGGATACATGCAGGTATCAAGGGACATGTTACATGCAGGTATCAAGACAGATTTGATGTCTCTTTGGACGAGTTTCAGAAATCTGTCTGAACAAGTAACTGTGGCAAAAAAATTTGTGTTGTTAACATAAGGATGATAATAATAATTTCTTATGATGATGATGATGATGATAATAATAATAATAATAATAATAATAATAATAATAATAATAATAATAATAATAATAATATATAATTATTATTATTATTATTAATATTATTATTATTATTATTATTATTATTATTATTATTATTATTATTATTATTATTATTATTATTATTATTATTATTATTATTATTATTATTATTATTTATTCACTGTCAACTTTACTTTCGTGTAAAACGTAAATTAAATTTTGCTTACTATACTAATGATTCTATTTTTACATTTAATTTGCAAATAAATAACAAAATTATTATTTTTGTTTATTTTCAACGAAACAAGTTACTGCGAAGTCTCACGTAAATATAAATGAAAATCTTGAAGAAAAACAGCGTGGCAGCTCATCCATGAAAATTCTGGCCAGAACCTGCAACTGGAGAAACAATTTCCTCCGTCATATCTCGTCTGAAAAATAACAGGAAAATCGGCAATTTCGTATTTCTATTTCCCACCGTGATCCTCGAATATGGCGCCGTGTGCCAGCTACTGCCGGTGATCACATCCTGGAGAATGCACGCCATCTGTTAGCTGGGACTTAGGGCTTTACGCATTTAATATTATTTTTTAGGGAGTGAAATGCCTTAAAGTCTGTTAACGTTTGTGTAAATATGTGAAGCGTCTGTTGTCTGTAGGTAAAGAGGGAGAGGACAAATGGAGGAAGGTAGAGAGGCGTGTGTGTGTGTCTGGCTCGTCTCTGCCAGCACATCAGGGAGGCCAGGAACGACTCCCGGGGGACTATTTGGCATCCCACGATGATGGAAGGTCTATGATTCACCAGCCACTCCTCTTCAGATCTCCAATCTCCTCTCATGTAACATATTCTCACATTCACACCCCCCTTTCGCCTGCCTCACTCACACTTTTCATTCTCTCGTTCGCTCTGGTTGCGGTCTTCCCCCTGCGGCTCGTTCCTGCGGGCATCGACGCCGCTGGGGTAAACTTG